AATCACCGAACAAAATAAATGGCGGAACCTCTGATGTTTGCTGCTTAAAAACTTGGAATAAAAGGAAGTTTTGAGCCATAAAAACAACTTGATCCCATATCTCAAGCACCAAAGCCATGGTATGAAACGAAGATGCAAATGAATGAAACATAAGACAATTAAGGTTAAAATGAGAGGGAAAATTTTGGGGTATTACACTTAGGTAGCCTTACCATGAACGATAATAGAGTTCCAAACACACTCAACCAGCGGTAGAAAATCAGGATGTTAAAACCAACAATTAAAGACATTAAATGGTTTCAGCCCCCAATTGGACTTGTTTCCTTTGATCCAAATAGGGCAGTGATCCAACAACTCCATACTCCCTACAACCTTCCCCTCAATCTTCCAGCCATCAATTAAACCCTCTGAAAGAAGGAATCTATCAAGCCTACTCAACATCGTTCCCTCCGTATTAAACCAAGTAAACTTATTACCTACCATTGGAACATCAATCACCTTCAATCCCTCAATGAACTTGCAAAACATTCTTAATTGCGTTGAAATCCCCACAAATACACTATTCACCAGCCGAAAATTTACTCTTAAAGTCTCGAATTTATTTCCAAAGTAACTTCTTTGCCTGAGAGTCACATGAAGAATAGGCACTGATAAGATATAGATTAACCCCATTCCAACTAACATTGATACCAGCAAAGCCTGCGCCTGAGAAACTAAAGTAGAGAACAAACATACCTTTTTTCCACATGGCGAGCATGCCCCCAGATTTGTCAGTCGCACCTTTAGAAGTCCACTCAACCTCAAAATCTCCCCACAAATAATTCATTAACTCCTCCTCAACCTTCTGCACTTTGGTTTCTTAAATCATACATAAATCAAACCTCTCTTTATGAATCAACAGATTAAGACGATTCCTTTTCTAGGAACAACCACTCCCCTTCACATTGTAAGATATCATATTCATTGAGACCCTTTTTTTGCATCCTTATGACTTCGAGCATTGAAATCCCTAATCTTCATACACTTGATAGATTCTACATGGTTATCATCATTCTCCCATCCATTGATACCAAAAGTGAAATCTTTCGCCCACAATGTGGTTGCAACAACAACATTGCAATCAATAGAAGATTCGCCACCACACACCAAAGACCCACCTTGAAAGATGACACTAGAATCGACAGAACAAGCTTGAGAATGTGACGAGGAAGATGGTCGCACTTTACTGGAAATGATTTTTGGAGGATTGAGAGCCGCAAAATAAAGGTTGACTCTCAACACCATAAGAACTCTTCCGCCTTTGACCAAAATCTGCTTAAACATTAGTCCCCTGACTTCTAGATTTTTCCTTACGTTTGGAAATGGGCAACGAGTAACAAGGCTTCGACAAACAAAAAATTAGTGTTCATTCCTTTAGATTGAGCCTTTGCACACTTAGGCCCACCCTCAATTAATCCATCACTCTTGGATCCACCACTAGCTGTAAAACCCTGATCTTGAAAATGCTTCAAATAACTAGTCAAGTCTCTATCACCCTTAGAAATGGGCCCCACATTGAGATTGAAAAGGTTGACATTCGCCTTCCCACAATCAACCTTATTGTCAACAGCGACAAGAAATACAAACAAAGAGGGAGAAATGAGACTAGGAGAAATAACATCTCCCAACTCATCGACCTCATCAACGTAATCCTGACAAACTTTCAGAGAGATTGACACATCGCCATCAGCTACAACCTTGTCCACGTTACCTCCTTCAACGTGACAAGATTGGACACCTACTACCACCTTTCCATTCTCCTCGATCTCTGGATCTAACGCAAAAACAACTCTAGAATCCTCGCCTAATTTTGACTCACGACTCCAACTTCGTTTCTGAAACCTCTGGTACGACTATTCTCAAAGGACCATGGGAGTTTTCAATCATCTTCAACTTAAACACCTCCCCCTTAACCTTCGCACTACAAAACTCATTCAAAGTGGAGGCAAAAGATGTTCTAACCAAGATTCTATCAACATCTAACTTAGTTTGTGATCGCGTAGCATCGCCAGAGCACAAGAAAGTGCCAAAAGGTTTAGCAATGAATTTAAATAACTTGTCATTCCAAGTAAGGGTGAGCAAGGGACGGGTCGGGATGGATTATGACTAACCCAAACCTTGTTCTAAATTTTGATCGGGCTATTTTAATGACCTTAACCCGTACCTAAACTCGTAAAAAACCTGATAATATATAAGTTAGTTTAGACCGGGTTAATGTAAGACGATATCGGGTTGATCCGAAATATATGGAGAAAATTTTGTTAGTGACTTAAGAAATTTATTATAGTATTTTTAAAAATTCATTTAAATAAGAAATATGAATAAAATCATTAGCATGAATGAAAAACAATGCATACATCTAAAGTCAATTTTTTAAAATAAAAAACATGATGTAATTCTATATATGTCATCACCTTTTTATTTTCCCTAAAACATAGTAAGAAGATGTAAAATAAAAAAAAAATGATGTAAGAAAACTAGAAAAGTGTGAAAGTTAGGAAGTGAGAAGATGTGTACTTAGTATTTACTTAGTGCATATATTAAATTATGAGGTGGAAAGTGGAAAATTCTATTGGAAATTTAGAATAATCTAAATATACCAATAAATTAAATAAATAAATAGTATCACATGTGCATTCATAATATTAGGACGGGTTAGGTAACCCGAGGGTCAATCTGAACTCGTTCCACCTAATACCAGGTTCATTTTTGGACAGTCATTTTGTTCCATTTTTTTACATGAGACGGAAAAAAGACTAATCTGAAACTATTGGGTTGGGACGGGTCTTCGGGTTGGGTTGGGTTATGCATACCCCTAATTCCAAGCATGGCAAGGAATTCCAAACACTCTCAACCATGTAACCTTTTCTGCATCAACCACCGAAGGCTCCCATCACTTGACCTCTTTTAACCTTCGATGAAGCCAAAGTTTACCATTCGAAGTCAAATCCTCAAGTTCACCATCTTCTCTATCTTTAAGCAAGCATAAGTTAGCACCCAACGAAGTGACCTTAATAGCAAAATAACCTTCCATATCAAAAATATCTTGTAAGTTATACGTCATCCTTGTAGTTTCTACTACCCCCATGTACGCTTTAGAGAACCTGGACCAAATTTTTGCATGGACATCATTGAACTCCAGTTGCGCTCCTTTTTCAACCAGATGATTCACCTTGTTCCTAGTGACAAGGGCATGAGACCAAACATCTCTAAGGCCTGTACTACCATGCACAACATCTTCAGCCAACATCGAAGCCTTCGAATCATGAACAATCTTGTTATTGGGTTGAAACCCCCTCCCACCAACACCCCTCTGAAACCTTGGAATATTGACAAAGTCTTCCTCATATCCATAAAAATATTATTAAGCTTGATAGCTAGAGAGTCAGGATCCCTCACATAAAAAAATCTGAAGAAATCAAATCTCCTACCACTAACATTTCTTCTCTGTGGAATAATCACCTCATCTAAATCCCCATAACCGTTGAATACTTCAAACATGTCTTTCGCTCTGCATTTCTTCGGGAAAGAGGTGAAGAAAAACGTAAAAGACACCTTATTCTTCTTCAGACCCTAACTTGACCCTACATTGTTCCATAGACGAAACTTCCTCCTAACCAGCACCTTCTTCCAAACCCCCTTACCAGAAGGCACACCCTTTCTCTAACTCTCTCTCACCTGTTACAGTAATAACCTTTAACTTTTTAATTGGTTTGAATAAAAAAACCTAAAGTGGGACAAAGTTAATAAAGAATGCATGTCTAAAATATGTATGAAGTCCTAAAATAGGGTCATACATCATTATGAAACCATTAACTAACAAACAGTGACGCATAATGTTATAAACATCCACACAATTTATAAAAAAAATGTCTCATAAGTTTTATTTGATAAAAATGTGAATATTCGATAAATACAATGTTGTCCATCTTTCTCGTAATTATAAAATTTCTAATTAATTTTTTTTTTATAAAGTAATACTAAATTTAAGGATAAAAATCAATTTCAAATCTTAAATTAAAAATTATAGCTTGTATATGTAAATAAAATTAATGTTAAAACAAAAACAATTATACTTAAAAATCGGATTTGGATCCTCTCCTTTTTTATATATCATGTCATCTCTCATGTTTCTAATCTAACTGCTCAGAATTTATAATGAATAATTAAATAACAAAGACAAATTACTTACCCATTTCTCTCTCATATTAAATGATTTTTTTTATTTAATTATTCATTATAAATTCTGAACCGTTAGATTAGAACATGAGAGATGACATGATATATAAAAAAGGAGAGAATCCAAATCCTTAAAAATCTAAACATAATAAGCAAACAAATTTGTTAACTTAATTTAATATTTTACTTTTATTTCTTAACTAAAAATCGTTATAAGTTAGTTCTTTAATTTCACTTCCGTTATTTTATTTGATCCTTTCTGACAACTTTTGATAAAAAAAAATTTTAAACTTTGGTGATGTGGCATAATAATAAGGTCATTGGTACAAATCTAAATTATCATATATAATTAAAAGCTTGTTTAAATTGTAAAATTTTGTTTTCCTAAATAGCTTCAAACTTATACTAAGGATTTATCTGTTACATCAGATTAATAAAATTTAATATTTTTTTTTACAAAAATTGCTTAATGATCAAATAAAATAACAAAAATAAAATTAAGAGATTAACTTATAATATTTTTTAGTTAACGAAGTAAAACACACATTAAACTTTAAACCATAAAAGTTTCTCTTTTCTAGAAGTAGAACCAAACACAGTACTAATTCTTAAATGTGTTTTTTTGTGACATTTTTTTTAGGGTGAAAGATAAAAAGAAAATTTTTAACCTGATTTTATAAATTTCAGTCCGGCGGATGTAATAACAAGCTAATACCGGAAACTAAAGACTTGACCTAGCGACGCCGCCATCACTCACTCTCTGCCTTCTGAATCGCACTAACATGGACATCAAAACCCTTTCCTTCGCCGCTTCCACACCACCGTTAGCTATAATTGCCGCCGCCAAGCTCGCCGGGATTTCTCCATCCATCGATTCCTCCCTCCCTCCTGACTCCGCCCCCACATTTCTCTTCTCCAACGGGTACGTTTCCACTCTCATTTCTCCTTTTTCTTCACCATTTTTACTCATTTCTCATTGCTTCAACTTGCATCACATGGTCAATAGTACTAATTTATTGGATTTTATATACATGCATTTTCAATTCTATTCCTGTGTGTATTGCAGTGCCATATCTACGATCTAATAGTTTGCAATTACTTCATTGTTACAGGTTGAAATTGCGTGGAGCGTTTGTTCTTCTACGTTATATTGGAAGAACTTCCACACTTCCAAATTTCTATGGCCATAATGCATTTGAAACTAGCCAGGTGATTTTCCTGATTTATAAGACTGTGATATAAGATGGTTTAGTGAAATGAAGGATTGAAGTTTTTGTTGACAATTGAATTAGTGATGCTGTCTAAAAATGGTGTTTTGAATTATCCTCTAAATGTTTATTGAGCAAACCTTCAATTTGGGTCCTTAAACTATAACCCTCTCTGGAATTTGGTACAGTTACTTTCAAAATAGCGGAGTGATAGGTTAAGGACCTAAATGGATCGATTGAGGTTAGTTTAGGGATTTAGTTATTGCATTTCTGTAGTTCAGGACAAAATTGGAGAGGGAATGATTGTTTAGGACCAAATTGATGGTTTAATCATATTTGTTTTGTTAGTTATCGTTTGCTTCTGGTTGTTAGCTCATTCAATCTATAGTTGTTTTTCCCTTCTTTCCCAATTCTTTGGCTTTTCAGATTGATGAATTGTTAGAGTATGCTCCTGTACTATCATCTGGCCCTGCTTTTGAGAATGGATGCAAATATATTGATGAGTACTTGGAGAAGCGTACATTTTTAGTTGGATACTCATTATCAATTGCAGATTTAGCTATTTGGGCAGGTCTTGCAGGTAAAGATATTTTATGAGGTCTATTTAACTTCACTTGCAATACTACTAGATCTCTTTTAATCAACATTCCTATGAAAAAGGAAACCCTGGTTTTAGTTTAGTGTTTACATTTTGTGGTTATTTCCTAGTTGTGTCCTGCTGACAAAACAGGGTTTATTGTATATTGCCATATCAGGAGTATAGCTAGCAACCATGCTGCATCCGTTTTACTCTATTGTTTCGACATAAAAATGCTATTGTTTTGGCTTATCATTTTATATATTTATGTTGTAGTCTGTGCAGCAAAGTTACTGTCTTCCATTTTTGTGGTCTTTTAGTAACTTTACATCCATGGCATTAACTTTATTATCCTTTGATCTATGTAACTTAGTAGTTCATTTTCATATCCATCTTTATTATGCTTTTCAGGGGCTGGAAAGAGATGGGAAAGCTTGAGGAAGTCAAAGAAATACCAAAATCTTGCGCGATGGTACAATTCAATAGTGACTGAACATGGTACTTCCTTAAACGAAGTCACGACAACATATGTTGGTAAAAAAGGATTGGGAGAGCCATCTGCAACCAAGACAAAAGACAACGCCGTCACGGATAAAGTGAGGAATGTGAATGGGGATGCATCTGATAACATTAAGGGAGGAGGCAAACCTTTAGCAGAGATAGATCTTCCAGATGCTGAAGTTGGAAAAGTTCGCTTGCGATTTGCACCGGAACCCAGTGGCTATCTTCACATTGGACACTCAAAAGCAGCTCTGTTGAACAAATATTTTGCTGAGCGATATCAGGGTCAGGTTATTATTCGTTTTGATGATACCAATCCTGCCAAAGAAAGTAATGAATTTGTAGACAACTTGGTGAAAGATATTGATACATTAGGTATCAAATATGAAACAATTACATATACATCAGATTACTTCCCTGAGTTGATGGAATTGGCTGAAAAATTAATTAGCCAGGGTAAAGCGTATGTTGATGACACTCCACGTGAACAAATGCAAAAGGAGAGAATGGATGGCATAGAATCTAAATGCAGAAACCATAGTATAGAAGAGAATTTGAAATTATGGAAGGAAATGATTGCAGGATCAGAGAGGGGCTTACAGTGCTGTGTCCGTGGGAAGTTGGACATGCAAGACCCAAATAAATCACTTCGTGATCCTGTTTATTATCGTTGCAATCCAATGCCTCATCATAGAATTGGATCTAAGTATAAAGTGTATCCAACTTATGATTTTGCTTGTCCATTTGTTGATTCTAAGGAAGGTATCACGCATGCCCTTCGGTCAAGTGAGTATCATGATCGCAATGCTCAGTATTACCGGATTCAAGAGGATATGGGAGTTAAGAAAGTTCTTATCTACGAATTTAGCCGGTTGAATATGGTCTACACTCTTCTCAGCAAACGAAAGCTTCTGTGGTTTGTCCAAAATGGAAGAGTTGATTCATGGGATGATCCAAGGTTTCCTACAGTGCAAGGAATTGTGCGCAGAGGTTTGAAAATTGAAGCGCTAATCCAATTTATTGTTGAACAAGTACGTAGAAGGTTTTCCTTTCATTTATATATCTAATGAAAATATGCACTCACTGACAAATAAGTAATGCAGTAGAATATGTCATTTAGTTGTCATACTTTTTCTTCTTTGTGCTTTCTTGTTCTATAACAGCAGGCGCTAAAGATGTTGATGACTGTTTTCTGTTCTTGTACAGGGTGCATCAAAAAATCTCAATCTCATGGAGTGGGACAAGCTCTGGACCATCAATAAGAAGATTATTGACCCTGTATGTCCCAGACACACTGCCGTCATTGCGGATAGACGTGTATTGTTGACCCTCACAGATGGTCCCGAAGAATCATTTGTTCGCATCATACCTAGACATAAGAAATATGAAGCTGCTGGAAGTAAAGCTACCACATATACTAAAAGGATATGGCTTGACTATGCTGACGCAGAGTCCGTATCCGCAGGTGAGGAAGTAACCTTGATGGATTGGGGAAATGCCATAGTAAAGGAAGTAGAGAAGGACCAAGATGGAAATGTCACCGGGCTGAGTGGTGTTTTGCATCTTGAAGGATCTGTGAAGACCACAAAATTGAAGCTCACTTGGCTACCTGAGATAGATGAACTAGTTAGCCTGACATTGATGGAGTTTGATTATCTAATTACGAAGAAAAAGGTATGTCTTTGTCCTTCGAGGGTCTCTGTCATTATAAAACATTATATGATATGTGAATATTTTCATGAGCAATTCACGTGTTCATACAGTTTCTATTGACACAACTAATCAAAAGTTGAAAAATACTAAAACAACTTCTGCACAGCTTTGATGTTTTTCTTTTGATTGGTTGTATATATGGACATTGTGATCATGGAAGAATTACTCATTCTTATTTACCTGAAGCCTGAAATATTAGTTCTTTTAAAAAGTGTCAAAGGAAAGACATTTCTCTGTTGATTTTACTTTCTGCCTTTCTGTTAGGATCCTGATGCCTAATAGTGTCATGGACTGCAAGTCAAAGGATAAGCTACCCCATTTAACTTCTATAATTGTTGGTGTATACATAATACACAGACTAATATTTAGCTGATTCTTTATTTTATCTTGTCCGTGGGTGGGTTGAAGCTAAAGATAGGATAAGAAACTAGACACCGTCCCCTCCAATCACCAGACACTTAACCTATACATACATTTCCATCAGCCACCACCTTGATGATCTAGATACCCCGTAAGAACAACTTATCTGGTTACCAAAATGAAAGTGGAAATGCAATTATACACTGAAAATCATGAGGTTGAATTGAATTGAATTGAATCACCACCACCTTGATGATCATAATGGTCGCATCCTTGTGCAAAACCTCGTTATACTCATGACAAGCAAATCTCTACAAAATATAACAACTTTATCAAAACTGAATGTCAAAGATGAATACAATTTATAAATAAAAATGATGTAAGTCTACACAGAAAAAGTTATTAAAATTAATTCCTCAGAATATGTTTGGTCCAGACCTGAATACAATTAGGGCAACCTACGTCAGCCGAACAGCGACAACATGTGAGCACTTCTAGAGCAGCTGCCAGGAACTTTGTGAAGTGAGGTCGAGCCTATCAAACAAAATAGCAATTAATAATGAAACGATAACGTTACCATTGATTGTTAAATAAGAAACAACTCTAAACTTGAAAACATAAAAGCATCATGTAAGTATTACAACAAGAATTTTAGCATCGTGTAAGTATTACAACAAGAATTTTAGCATCGTGTTAAGTATTACAACGAGACTTTTAAAAACATAAAAGCATCCTGTAAGTATTACAAGACTTTTAGCACAAATGAAAGTTCGCTACATGAATCAATTGATGTCGTAATACATTTTCATGTATTAAATCTAAACTCTAAAGATGATTCATTTATCCTATCATGTCTAGTACTTGAAAACAGTTAATGCAACATTCCTGTCTGGGCTACACCAAACTTACTCGTGTTGACATTTTACTGTTCAATACTACGTCAAAAAATCATCTGTCTTACAGTTGCACGATAAAACTATTCCTCAAGCTTGAGCAGTACATTGTTATCACATAAAATAAAACAGGCTGAGACTCTCCTCTATTTCACAATCATTTTGTACAATGGTTTACTCATCATTGTAATATTCCTATTTCTATGACATTGAGTTCATTTTCTTGTTGACTCTAACTCCCAATATTTAATGCTATTCAATAACCTTCAATAGGTATAAGGTAATAAAGAGAAGATAAATATATCATGATTGCCAGACTTCTCATTTTATCTACCTGTACCGAAATTCCAGACCCTCCAGGATGTTGATCATATGTTAAGATTCTTTCAGGATAATATCGGCTGTCGTGAGGATTCAGACACTCAGGAGCCAAATCAGACAAGCTGCACATTAGATTTATACAGAAATAACAGTTTGATAAACAGAAAAGAGAAACAGATTTAATTTCATAGTCAAAATTCCAAACCATTTTAGCAAGACAGAATGTACAGACTGTTCAAATAACAATGTTAGAGAGAAATAAGAGAATCATATCATCTTGCCCACCAATGAGCCATGGCTTTAATTTGAGAGAGAAAAATGACACTTTTGTCTAGGTGGATATTTGTTTATATCATAAGGAGTTCATATACATTTCTGCATTGTACCTGCCATGACACAAGTTTTATAGCACCCGATTACCCTTATTAGGGCTATACTGTATTTTGATCCCATTCTCTTAAAGCACCCAATAGTGCATACCCTTGGTTCAGTGTTCATTTCATCTGTTACTCATACTTTGAATACATCAAACCTGCCTGTTTCCCTGTTTAACTTTATGTTCACATTGTTTGCAGCTTGAGGAAGGAGAGGATTTCGTTGATGTGCTTAACCCCTGTACAAAAAAGGAGACTCTAGCGTATGGAGACGCCAATATGCGAAATCTTCAGCCTGGAGATGTATTGCAGCTGGAGAGAAAGGGGTATTTCAGGTGTGATGTACCCTTCATCCGGCCTTCAAAACCAATCGTGTTATTTGCAATCCCAGATGGCAGGCAGCAGGCATCTTTGAAATAAATGTTTTTTTGAATAACAAGTCGGTAATTTGGATACCTTTGTGAAACTATTTTAATGTTTACCATCACTAAGACTACAGTGTTATGTTTATAAGCAACTTATTTTAATTGTGCTCTTGACTGAATTTTGAATATCTTCTGTTTTTTGGGAACCAATTCTGAGTCTACTAGAAAAAGTTATTTTAGTTTATGAGCTTGATGACTTTATATAATAGGTAATTCAAGTCAAAGCTACGTCTCTTCACTTTGTTTGCTGCCATGCCATCACATAAAAATATTGTACTATCCACCAAGATATATTCATTGCAAGGAAGTTATTACATAATAATAAAAATAATAATTATATTTAATTAAAGGGTGGGGAATAATTATATCAGGAGAAGTATTTACAAATTTAGTTGATGAATAATTGTTTTATCAACATGAGAATAGTCATGATGGTCGATTTGATTATTCAACAATCTTTCCAATTTCCATTATAAGACAAAGGAATACAACCCACTTTCTCTAACTTTTTCCTTTATGAGTTCCAACATGATCTGTAAAGGTACAAAGATTAAAAGTAGAATAACAATAGAAAGTGGCCAGACAATAACACCACCATAAGATAACTTTACTTCTTGGGTACAAGCCTAGACTTTATTTTCTCAACTTCTTTGGTACCCACTTGAAATGTCTTTGTCAACACATTATCCGGAACAGCAGGTGTAGCTGCAAACAATGTAACAGCAATGGACTGTGTTCCAGGAAGTTGGCTGTTGAAGGCAGAAAGAACAGCAGCAGGTACATTGGCATTGTTCTTTTGGAAGTGAACCAAACCTTTTGGGAACACAAATATCTCACCCTTGTTAATGGTCTTTGATATGAGAACATTAGCTGTAGTTATGAACCCAACATCAAGCTGCCCTTCAAGCACAAACACTACCTCAGTGGCGCGTGGATGAGTGTGAGGTGGGTTGAGGCCGCCTGGTGCATAGTCGATCCTTGACAGAGACACACCGAGAGTGTTGAGTCCCGGGACTTTCTGAACATTGGCTCCAGTCACGACGGAGCCATATGTGTTGTTGGTGGACCCTGGTTTGGCTAGTATGTTGGAGGAGAAATCAGAGACATTCACCTTGGATGCCTCTTTGCAGGTGAATCCGTTCACTGTCACACCTGCTCCAAGTATTAATTTTTCAGCAAAAAAGATAATAATTTAACAGCTTTTAAATCTACAAAGGTGGCTTGTGAATTGAGCATTGTGATATTATACTATAATCATTATTCAGCTGGTGCTGCTAAGTAATGCAGGTAAGAGACAAATGAAAGTTTACGTTAGTGGGAATACTATACTATGATAATCCACATGATTAAACAGTGGAGTCAGGAAAAAGCAAAATTAAAGTAGTTTGGTGGAAGTGGTATGCTTTTAGGAGTGAGGTTGAGATGAGTTAATAATTGGAATATGCATACTTCTCAAGTTCTTTGCTTTGTAGACTATACTATGCATTCTAATATGAATGTAGAAGAGAGTAATGTTAAAAGGGTATCTACCTGAGGAGAGGTCTGCGACACAGAGGTCTTGAAGAGAGTCAGGATCTGATGACAAAGTGGTGGCAATGAGCAGAGCCAAAGTCACAAGAAACAAAGAATGTGTAAGCTTCATGGCTTGGTAGAGAGTGAAAATGGAGTGGAATGAGAGTCAGGATTAAATAAATATAATATTATGAAATGGAAAGAAAGTAGCTAGAGGACCAAGGAAGAGAAAATACAATGGGAGAGAATGAAAATGAAGTAGAATGAGAAGAAAGAAACAGATGAGTTGGTTGAAAATAGGTGGGGTTTCATCAATGAATTTATAGCAAAGATAGAGAGTTGGATGGGGTTGGGTTGACAACAAGACTAGATACAAACGTGCCGCTTCTTCATTTGGTTTTGTCACTCTCACACCAACCATTTCTCCAACTTTAAGTATAGTTTTCCATCAAGAAACCAGATGCCCCATAAGTTAGATTCTTGGGCCTAGCTCTTAGTTTGGGCCCTTTTTAGGTTTTGATCTTTGAGATATTCTCAAATTGATAAGGGAATTTTTTTTCATCTATATTGGTTCTCTCAAATTTTTGGCGAAAAATAAAAAATGTTATCTATTATCGGAAATGTATTTCCAGACAAACTGTTACCACACAAAATAAGCGCCAATGATTGGGCTTCCTTCATTTTGTCAAAATTTAATTTGGAAATGCATCTCCATATGCATCTCTGGATTAACCTTTATTTTTGAATTCAGATGTTTTTTTCGGAGATGCATCTTCTAACACATTTAATTTATATATAACGCGCATGGACAAACCTTCTTCTCCTTCTTCATTTTTTGAAACTTTTACAAACTCCCATTAGAGCTCGAGAACAACTTTTTTTTCAGTCAAATTTTCATGAAACAACAGTGCCCCTACTTCAATAGTGTCAATCCTAACTCACTTCATACTATACTCAACATTTGTCATCCTCATCAATACTTTATCGAGTAAGTTTCTCATTTAACTTATTTTGATTTTTGATTAATGTATTAGGTAAAATAGTTATTTTTAAATGTATTATGTAGTAGTGACACTCGAAATAGGTAGTTGTTAGAGACATGCACTATGATTTGGTTGCATTTTGGGTTGTTAGTGCAAGATTGGTTTTTCTACCATTGTTGCAAACACGAGCTTTTTTGAAGCTGAATCTTCGAATTGTATCCTTGTTGGTTTTCGCAGATGCATACCCAAAAATGTCTTGTAGTTGTAAATTGATGTGTTTTTCTCATATTTTTGTAAGAAAAATAGATGTAAACAACGACGACAGAATGAGACTCGGCCGTGAAATCCAACACGCGTTTGTTCAACGTGAGAGAGTTAGACTTCAGAATGAGCAGGCTAGAGTTAGGTGGGAAATCGTCCCCATGCCTCTTGAAGGGAAATCATCGACTTTTAGGAGTCGTCTCTCACATGGCTCTTCATCCTAAAGGCACATCTCCCCTACTCACTTTGATCAGGAGGAAGCTTCTGTTGCACATGTTGGGGCCCCTCCACTTGCAGACTCTTATCCATGAGGGTCGTATGACACCTTCTTACTGAGATCATGTTGTTGGGCATATCTGGGTCAGAAAGGTATATTTGTTAAGAGTTGTTATTTATATGTTTTAAATAAATTCCTTGCGACTTATATTTTTTTTAACAAGAGTGTGATTGTTTGAAGTCTATTAAAGCACAACAGAAAGATTTTGAAGTTTTACCAGCCTATGGATGATTGACTCCAAAGTGTCATATGATACTCTGTTCTTGTCGGCATGTGTTATTTTGGGTACAAGACCATTAGTCATGGCATGTAGGAGGCTATTGTTGAGAGATGGCGTAAGCAAACAACATCTTTACACTTCCCCATTGGCGAGGTAACAGTAGATGACGTCGCTTGTCTTCTCCACCTTCCATCACGGGGGAGTTACTTGATCATTCCAGGATGAAACGTGATGAAGTTCAAGAGACAATGGTCATTAATTTAGGAGCTAACCCAATGGATGCCTTGATATAGTGTGAGAGCACCAGAGGTACTCATGCAAAATTTTCATACTTGCAGAAGTTATATGAAGACAACTTGGAGTTGGCCAACGATGCTAACAGCGATGATCTACACGTTACCTACCACCAGGAGTGTGCTTTAAGGTGTTACCTCATATTCTTGTTTGGCACTTCCATGTTTGTGGAGAAAAGTGCAACCTACATTGATGTGGCATACCTAAAGTACTTCATTGAATTGTCGGCCTTTCAAGAGTGGAACTGGGGGAACGTCTATTTGTATACATGTACTCCAAGCTGAGCGAAGGTTCTCTTTGGATGAAAAAGAAAATGACAGGCTCCTGCAACCTGTTGGCGGTAATTTCCATAGCCACTGATAATTTTAAAATCACATTTTTTTCACATGTTACTAATTTTTTTCTTATTCATTTTCAAGGATGAATTATATCCCATTATCACCGCATACACGAGATTGATCGTGTACTAGAGTATATTGAGGATTGACCATGTGCTTGCCTATATTGCTCGTGCAGAGGGAATGGTGTTGTGCATCCGTTTCAAATGTATATTTACCAGACTAAACATGAAGACGTTGATTGGACATCATACACCACTCATCGGGACATTGTGGTATTTAACCCCATTTCATTTTATTTTGGGTGTCTAGCATGTGGGACAAATTTGATGTATCATCCAGAGCGATGTGTAACACTTCAAATTCGATTAAATTATTTAATTGAATTATTTAGAATTTTTATTTTATTATTTGATGTTTGGTATGCCTTTAAAAAGTTGTTGGGAGTAGTGGCAATGGTAAGGTGTGGAGATAATGAAGTAGCTTGGTAGAATAAATTAGAAAATAATTATAATAATTAAAATTTTAATTATTATTGGAAATAAAATAAGAAAAATTTGTGAAATAGAATTTTTTGGCCATTTATGTGAATTGAGAAAAATATATGGTAAGAGGAGATAAGTTGGTAATAAGTTTGACAAATACCGTAATTTTAGAAAATATGGAGAACTATATAAATTCTGAAAGTTGGGGGGAAAACTAGGGTTTAAAGAATCTGACTATACGTAAAAACAAGAAGCAATAAGGGCAAGGCTTTTGGGAATGAGAGTTATGTTTGAGACGAGGAATTCATACAAGTTGTTCAATTCATCATTATTGCAGAAAACCTAAGGTAAGGGTGAAGAAAAGACTTTCAATGTGGGTGTTTATCCTAAAAGGGTATAGAAGAGAGACCTTTACTTTCATTAGGAATTGTGTAAATTATGTTTTATTGTGTTGTTGTTGTATGATTTTTTTGTCCTCTATTGAGTGATTTGTGTGCATTCTTGTATTTTAATTTGATACATATATTGATGCCTTTTATAAGGTAAGGTTAATGTGATAACCCATTTGATGTCATGTTCTTGAATATCTTATATAAGGTTAGGAATAACTATTTATTTTTGGATTTTTGCCTTGCCTTGTAATTGTGTGATGATTCGTGTTTGTGCCCTTTGAGGTGAATTTTCCTAATAATAATTGAATCATGGTATGTACTTATTTTAAGTCTGACCGGTGTGTTTTGGGTGGCGGTTAGAACTCAAATAGTTGAAATAAACGAGTTTTGAAATATGGCTAATAGGGTGAAAAACACAGAAAATCGTAGGTAGACATGAGAGGGGATTGACCGTCTTATTTCAAGCATAACTTGAATTTTGGGATTCGGGTTGAGGCGCGGTTTGAAGCGTTGGAAAGTTAATGTGATAATCTTTATTTTGAAGTAGAGAAAATGGGTCTATGGGGCACTACAACAGTAAAAGTTCACTGGTTTTTATACCAGAGGCGTACTCAATTTCAGTTCTGCGTTAGTCACCATGTTTCACGCATAACTTGAGTTCTGTAAGTCCTTTTGGGGCACTGCTAGTTGAATTAGAAAGAAGGTTTAATGATCTTTCAAACTTGAGAGTTTCATAATTTTATCATGAGTGTATAATTTTTCTTGCTATTTTGAAGTCAGATATTAAGTTTTAGAGTTTACGAAGAAATAATTGCGATAAGGTTGAATTGAAACTAATAGATCTGAAGTTTTGTAACTTTGTTGGAGGTAGAGTTAAGTGTGTTTGAAAGAAGGTTTAAATATATTTTATAATAGAGAGTTTCATATTTGATGTTATTTTGAAGTGAGACAATTTTAGAGATAGGTCCGGAGTTTTTAGCAATTTTGAGTGTGGTGACCATTCGTTGCCTTTTTGATTAGTTTAAGAGTCCTATTTTATTTTGTTAGAGTTGTTGTAGAGTTGTCAGAGTTTATTTTGAGTTGTTTAGAGTTGGAGATCGGAATATAGGATACACTTGAGTTGAGTTTGGAGCATTGTTGACATTACAAAGTTACCTTTGAGTAATATTTTTATTTATTTAAGGTTGTTAAGGGAAAAGAGTTAAAATTTAGTTGTTGAGTAATTGATAATAATGTTATTGATTTAAGTTGGAATCTGAGTTATTTGACTTTTTTTAGTTATTTTGATAAGGCTAGATTGAATAGTTGTTGCATTACCTTGTTGGTGGTCTGACATAGTAATAATAGGAATTACTCTTTTGGTGAGTGATATTGTGATAATAGGTTAATATTTTATACTATTGATGAGTATGTTGTTGTGGGATGATAGTTTAGGAGCAAAACTATTGTCGTTGGGTCAATGCGTGTTTGTTTATTCTCAGGATGGAAATTTAACATTATGTTTATGTGCATTGAAATATTGTGACATGCATTCATTATGTCGTTTTTGTTGATGAAATACGCAAGATGCAATATGAGCAAGGTGGATTGGTGACTTGTCACGAATTCGAGCAGGGTGGATTCGGGGTTTGAGCAGGGTGAACTTGATTCCTGAGTGAACCAATTGATGATGATATGGTACCACGTGCATATGAGTCTAGTTGATATTATGAGTCTCATTGCATAATGTAAATGAAAAATATGTGATTGTTATGTATGCTGATGGATTGGGTGTGAGAATGTTGTGTATGCGTTGTGAATATGTACATGTTGTTATGAATGAGTGTGAGACCATGTTGTTGTTGATTGTGTAATGAATGTGTGATTGATGTATATTCTCT